CTTCTCAGTGTGTGTATCTATATAATACATCATCTTTCGTATATACTCACCAGCAGTGCTGAGCCCAGGACTAGAAGTGAACTTCGCCACATCGACGATTTTTACGGCAAAAATCTGCCCGGTATGACGGTGAATGCATTTTCGAACGACGCTGAACGGTCCTCTGCAACAATGCGAGTAAGACGTCAACAATAATAATTACGCTCGCAGTTACTCGAGTACGGATTACGCGCGTTGTCAAATGACTAGTAAATCAGGTAGAAAGCTAATAATAAATGTAAGCAATTAAATATTACGTAATATTTAACATTTGCAAAATGGGCTTGAAAAGAGTAACAAATTTTATTCGAAAAAGTTTTCTACATCTTTTAATTTTTCACGATACTGCATGTACGTAGTTAAAGGAAACTTGGCTTTTTTTTGAATAGTTTGTTTTAACTAAATTGTAATTAACTCTTTCGTTTACAAAGTATAATTGCAAAACCAATTAAAATTAACATATGAAATTTATACGTCGTTAATTTATTGAAGTTAATTAACAAGTTAACAAATTTCAACGAATTGAAGTTTAAGAACATTGTAAAATGAAGTTCCGGTGTTAAAGGAAATAATATCTTGAAATTTCTTTGATATCACTTTATAGACCAAGGTTACGTCCTTCCGGTGACCTAACGCCATTTTTAAATGTCGCGTGCGCTGTGACTCTCCATTTTTCTTACGCATACCTACTATACTAATTTTGCATCCACACGATATATCTACATGTAAATTTTACAAGAGTTTTTACATTAAATATAAGAAAATAAAGAAAAGGAAAATGTCAATATAGGTAATCAATAAGGTCATAGTTCGTTGAAAACCTTGAAATCTTATCTATTTAGATCAGACAAAAGATAAAACGTTTTGGAAATAATTTTAACGTAAGCAAATAATTTTGATATAAAGATGATAATTCTATAGGAATTATAATAAAAATATATATAAATTTTCTTTGCTAAATTCAATTATTTTATATTTTAAAATCCACTGTGCTTATTTACCTTATAAATAATCGATATTATTATTTCAAACAAAGTATAGTTATTTCTTGAAAGCGTGGGCAGCTACGTATATCATTAAAAAAATTAGCAGACAACCGCTATCTTTGCATTATTTGCCGATGTATTGCTTTTCATGGTTTCATGGACATTATAAATAAATAAATAGATATCGAGATAGAGAGAGAGGTGCCAATATCTTGGAATAAGAAACATCCAATATCAATTCTTAGTTAGAAACAAAAAGAACGAAATACCTTATGTTTATATTTAAAATGTCTATATGGTTATTTTTAAATCATATACATACAGCAACACACACACGCACATACACACGGATGGTTATTGATAGACTGAATTTCTATAAGATATTAATGTCGTATACCTAGATGGTATCGTATAAAGAAGGTAATTTGTGTGAGACGGGCGTCTATGCTTGTGCACATGAGTAGGTCATATGATCGGGGCTGTACTTAAGGGTTAAACACGATAGCGGTCTCGGTTATCCATCGAATGATAACCACGCATGCATTCATGGAATTCGTGAAAACCCACAATGGAGAATGTCGTGCGTATAGAGCGTTTCACGCAAGCATCTATCCTTGCGGTTTGCACAGTAATATAATGGACCATCACATTTAACATATATATACTCCAATAACGAATATAAATCACACAGAATCTTGTTTGTATTTTATTTATACTCGCATGATGCATTTTCTTTATAACGAAACGCAGCACTTTCAATTTCTTTTTTATTGTCAAACATTATCTTTTACTTTTTGTATTCTTGTTTCGAAAAACTCATACGCTATTCAAAAAACTACACTATTTTTATTATTACTCGAGCAATATAAACAAGCGGTTATTTTCAATAATCTACAATATTTTACGACTGGCGCGATTTACTCGTAAAATGTAATTATACCATTTCTTTAATTTCACAATTCTTTAAAATTAAAACAGCAAGATAATTTTCAATCTTGGAAAATTATTTCATTATTATTAAAAATTAAATTATTAATATTAACTTTTCTATTAATGTTACTGTGTATAAATATTTTAAATATTTCTCTCTCTGTATCTTATTCTTTCTGCATCTATTTATCGCAATAACGAATTATAACATATATAATAACGAAGGCATTTAATAAAGATATCATAAATTAAATACCAATAATAATTAATTTAACGGATAATTGTGATGTTATTTCAAACTTAAAATAAATTACTGTATCATTGAAATCATCTGTTCAATCAATAATATGAATGTGTTACCTATATTGAAACACATTTGTTATCCTTTTAAATATTTAATGTATACTCCGTTCAACGAGAGATTGAGAGTAGTTTTGCGCATAAACGGGCAAAGTAGGGGTAAAGTCCCTAAAGTGTGGCGTATCGTACATGTAAATAGACGTTCTGTGGACAGAGACCTGCGGGAGACAGACGAGTTTTCGTCCGATCTGCTCTCAATCTCTCGTTGAACGGGAGTATAGCAATAATGTACATATATAAGAGCGAAAACTAAAAGATTTATAAAATTGCCATATAAAATTATAGAAATTAAATAATTATATTCAGCTATTATCATATAACACTTATTTTAACGCCAGATAAAATATAAATATAAATTTGTCATATAAATATTGCATTTTGAAATTGCCATGCAATTATATTATGCATTTATAAAGCATTTAATTTAGCGTATTTTTCGATACAGTCTGAACATAAATTGAAGAACGTAAAGCAATCTTTTAAAAGCGTGTCTGTGTAAATCCTCTGCCGTCACGTACACAGGCCGTCATCTCCGGTGTACTCGCGAACAAGTTACTAAATACATCATCCCTCGTTTTTCGTAGTTAAAAGGTCTCTTGCAAGACGGCCTCTTGAGTGCCTTAAGGCTTTCATAAAGCAATTCGCACGAAAGCGTAATCCGCCTTTTATGGAAAGCTATTGACTTCTCGCGTCAGTTTCCAGAAGAGGTCAAACATCACCGTGACCTATATTCAAAATCAATTTTCCGCTTGGAAAAGATTACACATGCAAGACTTCTTTTTTCTACTTCTTTATATATATGGAGAGGTAAAAGTAGTGTAAGTCAAATTTTTTAAAATATTGACTCGTGTACATTAGATGCAATCTATACGATATATAAATTGTATCTATGCACATATTGCACACGACTCAATATTTTAAAAAATTTGACTTACACCACTATGGTTTTTACCCCACTATATATTTAGATGATTTATACCAGATGATTTTATATTCTCAAATCATTCTTTTGACAACTTGTATAATAAAATAATGACGGATTGACTTGACCATTGCCATTTCATTAAGTATTTCATTAAGTACCGCCTTAATTCCATATCATGTACATGAATAAAATTTCATTTATAAAGATACAGATTATTAGTATACCAGAGTTCTCACCGTCGTCAAATACAGCTCCATTTAACCTCCTGGCCATTGTAAATTAGACTTCGAATCTGATGTAATTGAACTTTGGCCTTCCGTTAACAAGTTACGTTGAAGGGAGGACATTGCTAATACAAACGCTCAAGTTTCATGCAGAATTCTGCTTTCCAAAACGGTAATTACGACATCCGATCGCTGTATACGCTCAAGCTGTTTGAAATTTTAGTTAAATCCGCTAGGATAGCATGCTGCTCACCCCGAGGCCATAACTTAACTGAACATAACTTGTCATTGATTAGAACATGCTGCGTTCAAATTGCTGATTTATCATCCAACAGCTCATTAACGTGGAGAAAATTATTTGTTGCGCGATTAAAGATCCGTTTTTTGTCAAATAAAATATCGAAAATAATAATGATATGTCGCATCAATATTTTCCTTTACATTTTCAATATATATTTAATTTGTTTCTAAAAATAAATGTATATTAATCAAATTTTTGTATGGTATTTATAAAATAGCGTATGCGTCCACGCTTTTATATTTCATATATTATACATCAGATTGATAAGTTTGCCATTTGCCTTTGTATAGATAATTCCACTGTCTATTTTGTAATTATATGTAATGACCATTTTTGTATGGTATCTTTTATTTCAGACAAATTGCGAGCATTGATATAGATTTCCAAAGATTCGGTTGCGCGAATCGGAATAAGCTCTTTATTCGGGATGCTCTTCGAGGAATTTCAGATCTACCATAATTGGATGTCGGACACTTGTTTACGAATACAGAGACTGCATTCGATGCCAGACTACATCATCAAGATACGTCTGCCCCGACATTAACATTCCATCTCTATACCTCATTCGTTTCCGCGGTATTGGAGGCACGTAGACGTAATGGGTACGCCTGACTAGGGTAAAGGGAGGGATGGGGAATTGAAACCGCTAAATGGGATTGTTAGTGAAAGACAGGAATAAATAACGTTTCTAGAACAGAGGCGTTCGCGATATTCAGAAAGGCTCGTTTAACCTGCTGAAATACTCCCTTTTACGTCGACAGCCCTGCTCATCAGACTATTTAGTCGCTTTTACACCGTAGTACACGCAATTTCTCTGCAGTTATACTCTTATCAACACGTACAGATCACATATGTTACGGCTAACCGAAACGCAGTATATAAATGCGCAAGTTACTCGTTTCCCTTGACGGCTCTGTTAAACTTAAGCCGCGCCGTCGTGCTGATATTACATCTCCTCTCCGTATTACCATTATGAGTATATGAGTCGCTTATTGCATGGAGATTTTGTAACAATAAGACTTATGCTCAACACTAGAGACTTGTCACTTGCAAGAATATAATGCTGAATACCGAATCTTTAAAAAAATAAATTTATAAGAATTTATAAAAAATTAATTTTGGTTTCTTTTACATTAAAGCGATTTATATCGTATCCCACGTTTCTTTTCGTTATCTTTCCATCACATACAATGACTGTAATATGATATCGCTTTCTGCACAATAAGAACTACGGTTAGTAAATTCCCATCCTTTCCACATTATTATATTCTAATTTTAAAAAGCACATTTTAGCAAAACACTTTTAACTAGTAATTATTACTTTAAATTTCAATTGTTCAAAAATGTTGTTTGTTTAATAATATAAATGCTGATTACCAACAATTACAAAAGCACTAA